GACATACTATAACATAAACAACCCCAACTATAAGTAAACAGAGCATCATACATCAAGCAACTGGAGTTACAAAGAAGTTAGCTTTCAGCCAAAATTGGACAAACTCCCAAAACCACTGTAGGAACAAGAAGTACAACAAACCAAACCCGGTTATATGGGATCGTGGCATTGCCTCAACTCAACTGTAAGAACGGGGCAATATCTGTAACCAGTATTACAAGAAGAAATCATAAATCACCCAACCGTAAATGCAGAGAAGAGAATTATGAGGAGGATATGGAACAAAGTCACCCATACTCAACTATAGGAGCAGAGAAAGAACCTCCTGCAACCAAAATTATGGAGAAGAGGGACCTCAACTGCAAACAACTATAGAAACAGGACGGTTTCATCCCGAACCCAGTGTAGGCTGGACCCACTCCAACCGACAACTGTCCACCTGGGAAGAAACATCCAGATGAAATGGAAGGAAAGAAACCAGTTTTGCTCTCTTCTCACTAAGTGTATAATCATGAGTATGTATGGTAAATTAAATTTCTAAATTCACTCAGGAAGAAGCCTCTATAGTCCATGACCCACTAACTGGGAACTGGTAGGGACTCCCATGCTCCACTGGAAGAAAAAGGTGGGGAGTCTGGAGGAATATCACACCAGAGTAAGTGCAATGGTGTCCATGATTCCCTCTTTCTAAAAGCAGACCGACACCTTTTTATTCAATCAAATGGTAGGTAGGGATAGGCAGAAATTTCCTTCTGTTTTACTCATGAAGTCCATGAGTGACAGTCCACAACTGAGTGAAAATTACTGATATCTAGAAACATATATATATATTTCTACAGTGAACATTATAGTGCTGGTTTGAGGTCAATGGCAAAAGGATGTGTGTAAAATTGCCATAGGAGGGAAATGATATCCACCCAAGGAAGATACAGACAGATCATGCAGATAATGAGTGACAAAGGTATAGGGAGTAGCACACATTCTGGCCAGAGCAATCTCTACCAAAGGGTGGTGAAGATTGGCAGACAAAGACATGGTGATATGACAAACTTGAAGAGAAGAAATGTTGTGGAAATGGCAACCCTTCATGGAAAGGTCTGAAAATGCCAGCCTAACGAATTTACAAACAAAACCAGTTAGCACAACAGGGGACAGATCACAGGAAACAGAAGGGTTTCAGAGAATAAAAAGTCGAGAACATCAAGCTCGAAAGAATGCAGGATGCATCACATAACACCATAAGAAGCAAACTGGACAAAGAAGCCGATCAGGATCGCAATGGGAGTACCAGTGGGAGAAGGAAGATAAGAAAATGGATGTGAAAGCCAAACAGCCTTTATGGATAGCACTGGTCTGAGGGAGGAAGAACTGGTCAGGATATAGGATCACATAAAAGGAATGGTAGAGAAAACAGGTAAAATTAAAGGCAGAAATATCTGATCTACGATGTTCCCAAGCAAGGAGGAGAAGGAAACAGGTCTTGAGAGAAAGATGGTAGATGAAACATGAAGACAAAGGTTCAAAGGGAGTACGGGAAAGGCATAAAGGACCACACTAAGATCCCATCAGGCATATCAAAGGAATGTGGAAGACACATAACTCAAAATGAGAGAAATGACAGGGGAAGACAAAACCTAGAGAAATGGAAGGTGTTTGACAAGGCTGACTGAGAACTGGATATGGTCAAAGTGAACAAGCCTTTGTCAAACAACCGGATGAAGAATAAGTAAAGATGAGGAATGGAAGGGTGGGAAGGACAGAAACCACATCAAAGAGACCAAAGTTGGAAGGGACACCATCACCTGTGATAAATGGACAAAGAAGGTCTAATGGATCACAAAAGGAAGGATGCAACATATGGAGTCATTCCCTGGGCTGAGACAATGGACCTGACAAAAGCCATGTCTGAAGACAGAGTATGGTGACATATGGATGCACAATGTTTGACCAGCGTGGACAGAATAGGGACTGAGCCAGAGGTAATGGTATGGGAGGTTGTACAAGTAAAGATCAGAGCAGCGGGAACAATGATTGCACTAGCCAATACAAAGCCACGGAGTGGTTTAGAATAGGATACAACTCTGTAGAGAGGTCCAATAGGAAGGTAAGCAGAGATGTAAAGACTTCTCCAAATTTTGCAGAACATGACCACCCCTGAGTTAGCGGGTGTGGAAAGTGAGACCAAAGGGAAGGAAGTTTGGTGTTTCAGTAGGTGGTGAAGGCATACATGAAGTGTCCCCAGCTGAGAACACACCCACCTGTGGATAGAGGGACCACTCCATGAATCTTGTTGGAAGGAGATAACTGATCCACAACCAGATTCAGGGAGCCAGGAAAATGACAAGTTAAGACCACAATGTGCCCAGAAAGGAGATCCAGGATAAAAGCACTGAGACCTAGAATTGGTCCCTCTGGCTCTGTGTTATTAGTGACCACTGTGGAGATTTCGGAATGTACCATAACCACTCTTCCCTGCAGAAGAGAAAGGATGTGGGGCAAAGCTCAACAAACCCCCAAAGGCTCAAGAATGGTAATATGGAGAGAAGACTCCTCGCAGAAGTCGTGGTAAGTACTCCATACCTCTAAAGATGAGTTTGGGAACAGATGTACAATCAGAATGAGGTGGAGTAAGCAGCACCTCCATTATGATCTGGTATCCATCTAACCAGTTTGGCTCTGATTGGTGAAGAAAGGATAAAAGGGTGGTCTAAAGGATCCAAGGAAATGTTCCACTGATCTGAGAGTGTTCACTGAAGGGAATGCAGGGAAGCCCATATCCACAAAGAGATTGAACCTCTTGAGCTGTAAGAAATGTGAAGTGAAGGACTTGTGAACTGTCTGCTCCAAACCCAAAGAGGAGAAGGCTGGGCCTGATTGAAGTTAGAATAAAGACCCCCCCCCCAAATGAATTGGGACAGGGTGGGGATAAGAAGGGACTTACCCACTACTACCAGGAATATCACTTGTGCCGTTTCTTGTCGGAGTAGATGAGCATGGTTTCTGGACTGTGAACGCGAAGAAGCAGGTAAGAGCCATTCATCCATAAACATAAGATAACAAAGACTCAGAGATGTCTGGCAAGGGTTTGTGCCCCTTGACAAAACACATAAAAGAGCCAAGGTTGGTCCGAATGGTAGGGCCCTAAACTGGAACACACGACTTAGAACAAGAAATAACTGTGGGCACTGTGGGGAAGACACTAGCATTGTAGATTATGAGGAGAAAATGAGGTTTCTGGTGTTGCGAATATAGAAAAAGAGCCAAATTAAAGCTCAGCCATAAGAATGGGTAAGAAACAAACACTTCAGTGATGGAGCCAAGCCAAAGAAATTTAAGTACTACACTGACAATAATGGGGATGATAAGGCACATAGTGAAAAATGACTGAAAAAAGTATTCAGATATAACAATGAATGATATAATAATAGTAGTAATGATATGTAATGTCCAAACTAGCTAAATATACCAAGTTAAAAAATTACTTATAAAAATCAAATGGACAAACCATCTAAATGTAACTTGTCCACAAAGTATATAATAATAATAATGAATGTGCAAACCTACTAAAATTACCTAAAAAACACATTAATAATCAATATCTACCTTACAATTCATCTAAATGTACCTAGAAGATAAATCACACATAATTAAGTTCTACATTGATGAAAATTAGGTTGATAAGGCACATAGTTAACAATGGAGAAAAAAAAATATTCAGACAGAATAATGAATTATATGTTACTAGTAGTAATATGTAACTTACAAACAATCAAAACATACCTTTTTAAAGCATTTAATCCTAACAAACCCTCG